CAGGCCCAAGGAGCCCCCTGGGGCCCCGGCCCTCACTCTCCTATAGAGATTGTGTGTGTGTGCGCACGTGCTCGCTGTGCGCATGCACACACCTCCCCGTCTAGGTGTGCGCACAGGGCTTTGTTAGCAGAGAGAAGCCCCTGAGGAGAAGGGACGCTTTTCTTCTTTCTGCCCAAGTAAAGTGACCATGCTAGTGGCCAGTATTGGGGGCACACCTGTAATGGGCACCCCTTCGGCTGTGCGTGTGCATTTCCCATTCCCCATGCTCTTGCGTGTGCTCGCACGTGCACGCACACACCCCCAGTGATCTCTCCACCCGACCCGTGTACTTGCAGACAGGGAAGTTGAGCTGAAAGGAGCACAAGAGAGTGTCTGGCTTCGCTGCTGAGCTCGGCCTCTCCCCGCTGCAGTTATTTGTAGACAAAGGCACCCCGATTTTTGTGGTTTTTCTCCCTTTCTGTGCTTGCCAATAGTTGTTTTGTTTTGTGGACCTGACCTGGGGGCTGGCAGCTCCTTCAGGCAGCCTGGCAGAGGTGGAACTCCCCCCTCCACTGATGGCTGGGAAGGGAGTTGGGGAGGAAGATCAGGAGGGAGGGCTGGGGATGGATGGGAGGGAAGGGGAGGGAAAGGTGGGAGGAATGGGAAGCCGCTGTTCTGGTGGCTTCCACTCTGAGGTGTGGGAACGGGGAGCTTTTGGGGGGCACCTGTTTCCCCAGTGACTGAGAGAGAGAGCAAGACTGCAGGAACGGAGGGGTCTTGCAGGGTGTCCACCAAGAAGTCACAGCGCCCGTTCTGCACCCCACACCATCTGGAGCAGGGGCTTCTCTTCTGAATGAACTGAAGAAGGTGCTTAGAAGGGGTCTAGAAACCAAGCCCCGTGAGCAGCAGTGGAAGACCTTGGGCCATGCGGCCTGGAGAGGACTTGGTGGCGATCCGCAACCTGGACCCCAGTGAGGTGGTGGGCTGACTGGGAAGGAGAGGCCCCCAGCCTCCTCAGGATTTGCACGTGTGAACTAGGCTGCCTGGGGGTGCCCCTCAGGCTTGGAGAGCCCCAGATTGGAGGCAGACAGGCTGCACCACCCCTTCCCCCTGCATCTCGAGAATAAAGCAAGCTGCCTTTGTACTTGGTTGAATCGTGGCCTCCCTGTGTTCATTCTTATTGGGCTGGGGAAAGAGTTGTCAGTTTGGGGTGGGAGAAGGAAGAGGGGGCAGGGTTAGAGTCAACTGAAAGCCATGCTGCAGCCCTCGGTTTATCTCGGATGTCAGGAGCAGTGACTGTGACCTCCCATGGGCAATTGTGTGGCACCCCAGGAGGAGATATACCAGAGTCACCTGAGTCATTTCAGAGGTGTCACAGTCACAGGGTGGTGACCAGATGCAGAAGGCTGGCAGAAGCCTGACTTCAGACTAGCCTCCAGGTAAGGGCCATGGTCATCTCCATGGACCAAACCGTAGGTGGGGCCCACTGCTGGCACATGCCACAGAGAAGTGGGTTCCAGTCCTATCCTGCCCAGCAGGGCCTGGTGCCATCCACTCTGGAAGGCGGAAGCTGCCCTCCCCATTTGGTGATCCCACAGTGCCTAGCAAGGTGCTCAGTTTGCAGAAGGCACTCAGTTGATGTCTTGGCCAGATAGATGAATACCCACGTTGTTGCCAGGGCCCTTCCATCCTGGGAGCTCTCAGCAAACCTTTGGGCTCTGTCAAGTGCCAGGAGCCATGCTCAATGCTGGGCAGGGTCAGGGCCTCAAAGACAACTCCGCAGACAACATGGGCACAGCCTGCCATGGGAGTGGTACCCCCTGGAGTGGGCAGTGCTGCTGTGAAGGAGCGGAAGTGGTCAAGGAGGCATTCAGATTCTCCAGAAAGAAGGCAATATAGGCCAGGTGCGGTGGCTCACGCCTGTAATCCCAGCACTTTGGGAGGCCAAGGTGGGTGGATCACATGAGGTCAGGCGTTCAAGACCAGCCAGGCCAACATGGAGAAACCCTGTCTCTACTAAAAATACAAAAATTAGCCGGGCATGGTGGCAGGTGCCTGTAATCCCAGCTACTCAGGAGGCTGAGGCAGGAGAATCGCTTGAACCCGAGAGGTGCAGGCTGCAGTGAGCCGAGATCGTGCCACTGCACTCCAGCCTGGGCGACAGAGTGAGACCCCTGTCTCAAAAAATTTTTTTGTCGTTTAAACTTTTCTAAGTACTGAGATCTGGGCAGCAAGTCAGTGACAGATTAGATGCTAAGAAGGTTGTGAAGGAAAAGTCCCAGTGCCTGTTCCCAGAAGCCTGGAGTCCCGCTGCAGGGAAGGCTGGATCACAAGGGTGCCGGCTGCCTCTCTGCTGCATAGCAGCGCTGGGAGGGAAGGCCTGGCATATCACACCCCGCCAGCAGGGAAGAGGGGAAGAGGCTTGCTGGCTAGGTGGCAGGAAGGGGAGCAGAGGGCAGGGGCTAGAGATAATGGCTTCCCCCACCCCTCAGGGCCTCACCCCCATGAGGGCTTGGCACATCCAACCCTTGACCAACTCCCTAACCCTGCCCCTCGGGGGGAATAAGGCTCCAAGGGCCCAGCCACTGCCACAGAGCATTGGCCGGAGTTGATTGGAGATGGAAGTCAAACTGTTCCCTTGGCCTCCCTCTAGCTGCTGGGGGCCTCACTTGGATGGTCCTAAAGGCATCTTCCTTCTTCCTCTGGTGGGGTGCCCTCCAGTGTTCACGGGATGTGGGCCCAGATGGGCCTGGAGGCTGGAGTCCCTTGGCTGGTTCAGGGAGAGGTGGCGCCAGAAAGGCTGGCAGCACTTGGCTACCGATGCCCTGGAATAGCAACTTCACATCCGGGTCCCACTGCCATCAGGCTTCGTGGCAGAGCCAAAACTAAAAAGAGCAACTGGGTGCCCAACAGCCGCACCAGTGCCTGCCGCACCCGGCCTGCCCCAGCCACCTGCCCTGCACAGGCTGCTGGGCCTCCTCTGGAATCTGGAAACTGCATCTGCTGGCAAAGTTGGTGTGGCCCCTCAGCCCCAGCGCTCCTGCTGCATTGTCCTGGGGTGAGCGCCCAGCTCTTCCTAGGAGCCTGCCCATTCTTGGCAGCTGGCCCCACCCAACCGCCTTCCCAAGGCCTGGGGGTGGGAAGAGGGTTCCCTGCTTGTACAGATGACCCCCCTACCCGAGACTCTGCTTGGCAGACAGACCCAGGTCACAGGCAGCCTACACCTGCTCCTGACACCCCCGGCCCCTCACAGTGCCGCTCTCTCTGGCAACTGAGCTGAAGTACTGAGGAGCCCCTACCTCCCAGGCAGGTTTTGGGCCTTCCCTCCTTTTCCAGAGCAGCCTTGGCTGGGCACGGTGGCTCATGACTGTAACCCCAGAACTTTGGGAGGCCGAGATGGATGGATCACCTGAGGCCAGGAGTTCGAGACCAGCCTGGCCAACATGGTGAAACCCCATCTCTACCAACAATACAAAACATTAGCTGGGCGCGGTGGCGGCGCCTGTACTCCCAGCTACTCAGGAGGCTGGGGCAGGAGAATCACTTGAACCCGGGAGGTGGAGGTTGCAGTGAGCTGAGATTGCGCCACTGCACTCCAGCCTGGGCAACAAGAGCGAAACTGTCTCAAAAAGAAAAAAAAACAGGCCGGGCGCGGTGGCTCAAGCCTGTAATCCCAGCACTTTGGGAGGCCGAGACGGGTGGATCACGAGGTCCGGAGATCGAGACCATCCTGGCTAACATGGTGAAACCCCGTCTCTACTAAAAAATACAAAAAACTAGCCGGGCAAGGTGGCGGGCGCCCGTAGTCCCAGCTACTCCGGAGGCTGAGGCAGGAGAATGGCGTGAACCCGGGAGGCGGGTTTCCATTTCTCTCCAGTAACAGCCAATGGGTGACCCAGACATCAGGAGTTTGGTGGCTGGTACCAGTGGACTCCCTGACACCTTGGAGTAGGCACTGTCACTGCCTCGCAGCTGAGCAAACTGACTTGGGTCCCATAGCTGGGAAGGGCTCACCTGGGATTTGCACCCAGTCCCTTTGGTCCCCAAGACCCCCACTACCTCACGGGCCCTCAGTGCCACTAAGGAATGCCATTAGCTAGTCAGGAGCCAGCATGTGCCAAGCTGAAAAACAGGCTGATGGGAGAGGTGCAGGATGAACTGCAGGTGTGGTGTCAGACCGGGATGCCTGCCTGGTATCCTGAGGGCACGGGTGCTCTTGGGCGAGGGGTCTCCAGGAGGAAGTTGATGTGCCCCTCACAGGTGGGGTTTTTTGTTGTTTTGTTGAGACAAGGTCTCATTCTGTCACCTGGGCTGGAGCACAGTGGTGCGATCATGGCTCACTGCATCCTTGACCTCTCCAGGTCGAGTAGCTGGCACTACAGGCACATGCCACCACACGCAGCTAATTTTTCTGTAGAGACAGGGTCTCACCACGTTGCCCAGGTCGGTCTCAGACTCCTGACATCAGGTGATCCTCCCACCTCGGCCTCACAAAGTGTGGGGATTACAGGTATGTGCCACCACACCTGGCCATGGGTATGTATTTTTCCAATATCCCATGAAGGCACAGCACACTGGAAGCAAGGTGGTGTGGTCAGGGTGTGGAGTGTGGAGGGGCTGAGCCCAGACAGTTGCACACCACATGGGCAGAGTGGGGGAACTTGCTGTGCCTGAGAGCAGTGCAGGGAAACCCCTCTGCGTGCAGATTGGGCCCGGGGCTTCCAACACAGGAGCCGTGATGGAGACCAGGCTGGCTGTCTCCCCATGGAGCCTGTGGGGCCACCTGGGGATGAGGCGGCCGAGCCCGCTGCCCTCACCAGAACCAGGAGAGAGACATGGGAAGGTGGACACAGGGCTCTGTGGGGACCAGACAGACGGCTTCACTGGGAGGAGGGAAGGGAGTTCTGGACCAAAGCCTACCCCTTTCCCGCCTGGTGCCTCTGCTGGCCAGGCAGACAAGGGGACGCTGGGCCCCCAGCTCTCCCAGTCAGGGGAAGGCACAATAACGCAAGTCAACAGCCTCAGGTCCTGTGATGTTTATTGAAGGAAGCAAGGGCAGGGCTGGGGTGCCGCCCTCAGGCCTGGATGTGGCTCTTTGCGCTGAAGGCCAGGTAGTAGATCACAAGACCAATCGCCGCAGCCAGCACCTCAGTGGACACCCAGGGCCCGTTCCAAGTGCCCTGAAAGAAAGGAGATCACAAGCCAGCTCAGGTGGGTATAGGCAAGCAGACCAGCCAGCGCTGGTCACCCTCCACCAGGGGAACCAAGACATGCTGGCCAATCACGGCCCAGCAGCGGAGCTGGGGCTGTGGAGAGGATGAGAACCTTCACTCAGCCCGACAACCCCAAAAAGGAGGACGGACCAGGCCACTCACCCGATGGTCCACGCTGACTGTGAACAGGGGCGGGATGATGGAAATGTCCTCATTATTCCTCTGAGCCTGCAAGGGAGGTGTCAGGGTCAGGGGTGCCCAGCGTGCGGGGGTGGGAAGGGGAGAGGAAAGAGATAGGAACGCTGGCCAGAGCCCCAGAAAAGGAAAGGAGAGAAATGGGCGAGAGACTCTTCTCAGTAGAAGGGGACAGGATTACAGAAAGGCCACCCAGCTCAGGACTCACTGCCAGCGCCTCCCAACCCGGCCCATCCTGCTCCCCAGGGACAGGGGAGCCCAGTGGGCTGCGGGAGCCCTCACCTTCCTGAGGAGGCTGTAGGACTCCTCGTCGAAGAATCTGACTTCATAGGTGCCTGCATGGGCGCTCTTGTGGTCTAGGCTCCAGGACACCTGGGTTGGGTGTGTTGAGCAGGGTGTGGGCAGAGTGGACATGGAAGGGCCACCCTGCCCACCAGTGCCCACACCGCAGCACTCCAGCAGCCAGAGCCCACAGCCCCTGGCCCTGGTTGACCGGCCACCCCTGGGGCTTCAGGTCACACCCGGGAGCAGGGAGCCCCCTAGCAAGGGAACCCTTGGCCCCTCACCTGATAACGCCCCACGTCCTGGCCTCGGGTGACAGGGAATTGTTTTCCACCGACGTCAGCATAGAGAGCCATGTTCTGGGTGAGGAGACAAAGGCAGGGTCACCTTCTGCCCTCTCTGGGTGTGGGCAGAGGAACCCTGTGCACTGCTCACACGGCCTGCAGATGGGTAGGCTAGGCCCAGTTGGGGGCTGCAGTGTCCCTGGCAGGAGGTTCCAGGTAACACTCACCAATCCTGTGACTGGCCCTCTGCATCGGTCTTCCCTACGGAGGCACAGGGCTAGATCCCCATGGTCGGACCTAACTGGACGCATAGGAACCCTGTTGACTGTGAGCAGGGGCGGGATGATCAAAAGGGCCGAGTGATTTTCCTGAGTCTACAAGGGAGGTGCTGGGGTCAGGGATGCCCAGTGGGCTGCCCAAGGGGTGCTTTACCCTAAGATGGCCATACCCAAAAAAAAGGCCCCATTTCCTTCTTTGGACTTTTGGGAACATAGGTCAGGGGCCAAGGCCAAAGCTCCTCAATCTTGAAGTTAAAACACCCGAAACCCTGTCTCTACCAAAAAATACAAAACTTAGCTGGGCATGGTGGTGAGCACCTGTCATCCCAGCTACTCGGGAGACTGAGGGGAGAATCTCTTGAACCCGGGAGACGGAGGCTGCAATGAGCCAAGATCGTGCCAATGCACTCCAGCCGGGGCAACAGAGTGAGACCCTGTCTCAAAACAAACAAAAAACAAAAACAAAGACAAAACACCCACACAGACAAACTGGCCAATGGCAACGAGGGTGGGCTGCCCTTTCTCCCGGTTCAGATACTCATTCGGGACACAGCTTGTGAGCCCAGTGTTACCTCGTGTAGGCACAGCACACAAAGCAGGTGAGGAAGGTGACCTGTCAACACTGGCTAGGATCTGGCATCGCCGTGCCCTGATCTCTCCAGCACCCCAAGAGTTGGAATCTCTGTCGACACGGGTCCCCCATCAACTGGCAGTGAGGAGCACCCCCACCCGCCCTCCTGTCTGAAACCCCACTGTCTCACCTGGACCCTGTTCTTGCATGTCAGGGAGATCTCCACAATAAAGACAGTCTCGGTGGAAATGACAGCGTCAGAAGTGGTGTAGTAGGAAGGGGTGATCTGGGGCTCTAGGCAGGCCTCAGCTGCAGGGAAGAGGGAGAGATGCTTGGGTAAGGCCAGCTCAAGTATCCCAGTCTGAGGGCAGGGTGGCCGGGCCCTGCCTCACAGCACGGATCAGCTGGGGACGCACGGGATCCTCCTGTCCCTTCCAGGTGGGATCCAGACAGATCCAAGTGCTCGGTCACAAATGCAGTGGCAAAGTAGGTGGGATGGCTGTGAAAGCAGACTAGAGAGGGGCAAGGCCGGCTTTCTGGAGGTGTGCAGGAAGAGCGAACGCGTGTGCTGGGGACAGGTGGGCACTGGATTCACTGGACAACACATGCCAACGCTTGGACCTATGACACGGAGGCCAGGGGGCCAGGCCAGCCTCAATTCAGAACCACAAATGGCCTGGACGAGTTACTGAAGGCATCCTCAGCAGAGACATCCGGGGTAGGGGCTGCAGGCAGGCAATGCACTGGGGCTTTCAAGATGAGAAAGGGTCTCTGCTCCCGGCCAGTTGACAGAAGGCCAAGACTGGCCCCAGCGTTTCCTGAGGAAGTAAACGGGAGAGGCTCTGGTTCCAGAAGCACAACTTGTTAGCTGTGAGAGAAAGGACTCTGCCTTAGCCTTCTCCGTAACCACAGAGGCCCACAGGAAAGATAGGCTGCCGCCTACATCAGAGGGTGTGAAACAAAGGCTCCCCAAAATGGGAACGTTCTCAGTCACCAGCTGTCCAAATGTGATGCCCCGGCAGAATGACGGCTTCAGCAGAGCACGTCAGAGAAGGCTCTGGGTCTGGACCAGAGGAGGCAGATCCCTAGGAACAGCGTGGAGGACATTCTCAGGGGCCAGATCCTACCAGCCCTTCTGTGTCCTGCCTAAGTTGGGCCTGCTTCCTGTGGCGCAGGGGAGCCCCCGAAAGGGTTTTATGGCCAGGCTTGTCCTCTGGATAAGTCCCTGGCTATAACTCAGGGAATTCCTGAGGGGCAGACAAGAGGGTGCGGGCAGGGAGGCCAGTTAAGCCTGAAGGACGGCAGAAAAGGGAATGCGCAGAAAGCCACTCCTGTCCAGTCCTGGACCCCGGGCCAGGGACTGGCTGCGCAGCCACCTCCTAAACACACTCTGGAGCCTCAGACCCTCATGAACGCAAATCGACGGGACCCCTGGTCGGCTCTGCCGAAAACTCTGGTAAGGGTAAGGCAGGGCCCTCCGGAAAAGCCAGTCTTCGGCCTGGCACTCAAGGTCCTGCGCACCTTTGGCTCCCCATCTAACTCGCCCCGTTCTTGCTCCCTCTCCTCACTGAGGTCCCTTCCTAGCTTATGTGGCCCCTCCAGCCCCGTTTTTGACCGCGATCGCTCAGCACTACAGAGCTTCGTTCTGGTCCGACCCCGCAGGGAGCGGGAGCGGGGACATGTGTCACGTTCCGTGCTGGAGCTGGGGGCCAGGCGCACGGTGGAGGCTCCGGGACTCCTCTTCGTATGGGCAGACAAGGAGAAGCCTGGTTGCCGGTAAACGTGCCCGAGGTGCTTTAGTCCCCGCGTCCCAAGGCCGCCTGCCTCTCGGAGGAAGGCCCGGCCCTCAGCGACGGACCCCGAAAGGCCAGACACCCGCATCCCTCCTCCCCTCAACACCACGTGGGGTGGGTCAGAGGCTCGCCAGAAAGAAGCCCCGACTGGGCCGCTACCTGAGCAGCGGGAGAGGCTGGACAACAGGAGCAGCGCCAGGGCGCCGAGATATGCCATCGCCGCCATCGCCTCTTCTCTGCCTAGAGGAAAAGAAAACGAGCTCCCATGAACACGAGGGGCAAACGAGTAAGAGCGACGCGTAAGTGACAGCGGCAGCCAATCGTGCACCAAAGGGCCGAGCCGGCATTGTGACGTCTCTGGCACGACTGACGTGGCCCCTCCCCGAGCCAGGGGCCCAGCTGGTCGCGATCCCCCCTCAACATGGCGGCAGCGGCGCTCTAGGCGCCGGAAGGGGGCGTGGAAATCGGTGAGACCGCGCGCGTGCGCAGTACCGGGTCCGCGGCGGTCCCCGAAACTTCGCACCCCGTCGAACTCTCGCGAGAGCGGTGTCTGCGTGTCGGGACGTGCGGAGGCTCTTACTTTCCGTCATGGCGCTGAAGGTAGCGACGGTCGCCGGCGGCGCTGCGAAGGCAGTGCTCAGGCCACCCCTTCTCTGCCGTCCCTGGGAGGTGAGCAGGGAAAGGGCCACAGGGCCGCGGCAGCGCTCGCAGGGGAGCGGTGGGGTAGCCGCTCCCGAAGCAGTCTGGAGTCCGATTGGCTAGGAGAGGGCTGCGCGCCGGGGTTGATTGGCCGCCTCCGCTGTCACTGAGGGGATTGGCCGAAGTTGGCCCTGGGCCGGCTCCCCCAGGGCGTCTGCATCGGGTGGCTGGGGGGGTTCCGGACGGGCCGGGAGAGTGGGCCACGGCGGCTGTCACCTCCTTACTGTCCTTGAAGGAGCCCTTCTGACGCAATCACTCACGTATCCCGGCCTGCCTTTCTCAAACCGCTTCGGGAATCCAGTTCCGGGACTCAGATTTCTCCATGGGTTCCCGTCTCGTTGACCGCTTTGCCACTTGTCCCGGTGGCAAAGAACCGGACTTTGCCAGTCATACCCCATCCTCCCACAGTCTTAGAGCCCCAGATGCCTTCCCCCCGAGGCACCTGGAATGGGAAGGAGCTAGGGTTTCTCAGGCTGCGGGGGTTTTGCTTCTGCTTTTCTTGGTCTGCGGTCTTGCATATTCAGGTCTGAGTCCTTTTCCCTTACACTTATTTAAGAAGAGGTTAATTTAGGTCCTAGGTGGGCTGGAAACCATCTGAAGCAGCTGTGAGCCAGCACCTGGCCCTGATGGGTAAGAGGTTTGACCTCTAGGCCATGCTCCCCCACTGACCCAGTGCGTGGCCTTAGGCCAGTTTCTCCTCTCTCTGGATTACAGTTTCCCCTTTGGAACCCAGAGGGGAGACTTCATGTTTTCAAAGGATCCTGTCAACTCTGACCTTCCAGAACTCCGTGATTTTGTTGCCACTCTCCAGGGACACCTCTACTTGCTGTGTTTTCTCCTTCTGGCCTCTGGGGGAGATGCTTGTGCCTAATGAAATTCTCTTGACGATGCCGACTTCTTCCACCTTGCTGCTGAAAGGATGGCAGCATATAGTGGCTTTCCAGAGGCTCTGATGGCTCTAGCAACTGGGCTCCTGTAGGCTCTCGGTGAAGACATGTGCCTCCTCCTTGACCTCCCCTGTGTGTGTGCTTGTGTGTGCGTTGGGGTGGGAGTAGGGGACAGTGAACGGTGGGTAGCTGGGCAGTGCCTTGCCCTGAGACTGATTGTCCTGGGTATGGGAACCCTTACAGAGGAACCCCAGGTCTTGGATCCCACTGATTTGGATGCCATGGGAGAACATGCAGCCACCATTGGCACATGGTCCGACAGAAATGTGTCAAAGAGAGAAGCCTCAGCAGGCATAAGATGTGGGATGTGGATGTTCTTTCTTTCTGTGGAGCTATGAAAGGTTGATGGGAGAGCGGGAGGCGTGTGTATATTGCATCCTGCCTCACACCTGGCTCCTTTGATTGGTGGCTTCACAGGGAAGTTGGGGCACAAGGCAGAGCCTTTGCGACCTCCTGAAGGAAGGTGCCTGCATCTGTACAGTACGGTCAGGGAAGTCCATCTGGAGTGCTCTCTGGGTCTTTTGCCAAAGTCCAAAGGAACACCTGGCACAGGGACCGGGTGGCGGAGAGGTTCAGCCCTGGTGGTAATGTTGCCATCTGTGAGGGAGGTCCATGCCCTCAGGAGATTGGCTCGCTGCCACAGCTGAAGCCCAGGAGGAACTACTGCTGGGAGCTGCAGGGGTCCACCTGTGACCCCCCAGGGACACCAGCCTTGAACTCTGACTTGAGGTGCCAGTGGGGTAAAGGGGCAGGTGTGCTATGTAGCACTAGCTACTGTGAGCAACTCACACACCTCCTCTCGCCTAATCTTTCCAGCAGTCACGGAAAGTAGGTACCTCCATTCTGTGAATTTCAAATGAGGCCGTGAAGCCATCTCGAGAGGAGTGGATGGTGGATTTGGACCGAGGCCTCCCTAGTCTCCAGTTCTTTCTTCATTTTCTGATGTGCTTGTTCACTCAGGAAATGTTCCTTATGTCCTAACTCTGGGCCAGGTACTGTGCTGAGTCCTAGGGTGACAGTATTGGACCAGACTGACTTGGCCCCTCCTCTCGGGCTCAGGGGTTGAGGAGGGAACAATGCAGTGACAACCTAGGGAAGGGGGTAAGTAGGGCCTTAGGATCCCAGCTCAGTAGCCTTAGGGCATCAGGGAGAGCTCCCTGGAGGAAGGTCCATTGAAGCCACCTTCTGCGTGCTTACAAGAGCCCCCAAATAAGGTAATTTCAGATGCTGACGAGCGCTAGAGAGAAGACAGAAAAGTCCCGGCTGTGCCTGTGGTTGCAGATCTAGGTGCCACACAGATCAGCTGAGCTCCACTCAGGGCTCTGGTCCTTGTGGTCACACTCTCCTAGCCCCTGGCTTGGACTGATGAGTGGTACATCTGCACTGCCAACGCTTGGGCAAGTGGGCCCCTTGCGAATGCCGGTCAGATACACACAGACAGTGAGAGGTCAGACTCCACCCGAGCCTTCTGGACTTCTAGCAGGAAGGCATGGCTCTTTGGCCAATGGCTGTGATGCTTCTGCCATTGGCTGGAACAGTTTGCTCCTGTCTAGTGGTCAAGTGGTAGGACATCCCCAAGTGACAGGGAAGACCTTGGCTCTGCCACCATCTCAGGTGTGTTCCTAGGTGGGGCTTCTTCCAGGACAGCAGGTCACTTGGCGCCTGGCACATTTGGCTTAGGCAGCTTTGGCTCTGAAGCTGTTAGGCATTTCCAGGCGGGGCGTTGGGGACATTTGGCATCCAGCCGTCTTTTCCGAAGGCCTTCCTAGAGTTAGGTTTCTGTTATCAACCTTCTGGAAATGGCTGGATGTCCCTGCACATTTGTTTTCAATTTCTAACGCCGAAGGGCCATTCCCCAGGGGGCCAACAGTACTTGTCTCAGAGAGGCTGGAGGCTGGGTACTACCTTCTTATCTCCCTATTCTGCGTTTTCTGTAGCGACCACATGCTGCTTTTGTAATAAGGAAAAGTGCTCAGCGAAGTGATAACATGACTGTTGTCATGGATCTGTGCTTTTTTGTAATGGTTTCTCTGCTGTACCAGGGTTAGTTACAAACATCGCGGAGCAGGAATAACTGGCCAAGAAAATAATCAGAAGCAAAAAAGAGGAGGGAGGGCAGGGACACGCCTTTTAAGAAATTTTCCGAAGAGCCGAAGGAGGCAGGAGGCTGGAGTGCCTTCTGCTTTCTGGGTGCTCTAGCGGGTCGGCCCTGGGGACAGAGGCTTCGGAGCTAATTGTCTGTTGTGCCCCTGGCAGTGGGCCATGCTGCACAGACAGGGGACCTGCCAGGGCACCGTGGGGACGGTCTGTTTTTCCTTCTAACTTGGCTTTCTGGGCTGGACATCAAACCAACCTCTGGCATTTGGTCTCTCTGCCAGGTTCTAGGCGCCCACGAGGTCCCCTCAAGGAGCATCTCTTCAGTAAGTACCTGCCCGTGCCCATGCATGTGTCTTGTCTCCACGTGGCCGCAGTTGTACGCGTGTGCGCACGGCCTGTGTCCTGTCCTCTGAGATGCAGTCTCCACGGGTTACCCACCCCTCTTCTGGGAGTTGTACTGGCCAGCATCCCCCCGGGAAAAGGCCCCACTTTCCTGGTCACAGCTTTGCTCTTGGAACCTTGGCTGATTATGTCTTCTTCTTTTCTCCTCCTTTCTAGCAACAAACAATTGTGAGTATTCTTCTTTGCCTGTTAGGTTTAGGGGGCTCTTAGTTGCTTTGGGGTTGACTAAATTCCAGGTGGGGGTGGGCTGCTGCTGACCCAGGAGCCCTGGATGAGCAGCCCTGTCTGGGACGGGGCTGCCCCAAGTTGGCACCTTGTGACGGGGTGGCCTGTGGGGTCAGCGCCAGTGGGAAGAAGGGAACTGGCTGGAGCCCATGGGGGCCGAGCTGGAGGCATGTGGGATCCCAGAAGGCCCACCTTCACCCTCTGCCTCCCACAGCCTCCGTCGGCTAAGTATGGCGGGCGGCACACAGTGACCATGATCCCAGGGGATGGCATTGGGCCGGAGCTCATGCTGCATGTCAAGTCCGTCTTCAGGTATGGAGCTCCTGGGTCCCCGCCTTGTCCTCAGCCAGGGGCCCCTGAGGACTTTGTGCCAAGAGGGGCATTGCGCCCAGAAGCACTCGGTGAGGCCATGGCAGGACTACCTGTAAGCCCAGGCCTTGCGTTGCATGGCCTGTGATGCCTCCAGGCTGGCCTGGGCTTAGGGAAGGTGGCACCAGTCCTGCCACAGTGTGCATTGTGGAGTTCAAGCATGTCCCCATCAGTTGGTGAAAGTGGGCCCAGTCCCTTCTCAGTTAGAGCCAGGTCAGGGCAGATAGCAACAGGAGAGTGGTAGCCTGGGCAGGCTTCCTGGAGGAGGTGCGGGGAGGGCCTGGGCCAGCCTCCCTGACCCTGCTCTGCCTCAGGCACGCATGTGTACCAGTGGACTTTGAAGAGGTGCATGTGAGTTCCAACGCTGATGAAGAGGACATTCGCAATGCCATCATGGCCATCCGCCGGAACCGTGTGGCCCTGAAGGGTGAGCTCCAGGGCCAGGGGCCAGGATGGGGCCCTAGGTGTGATTCCTTTCTTCCTTCCTTCCTCCCTCCCTCCCTTCCTTCCTTCGTTTTCTTTTCTTTTTTTTCTTTTTTTTTTTTTTTTTGAGACGGAGTCTTGCTCTGTCTCCCAGGCTGGAGTGCAGTGGCGCGATCTCGGCTCACTGTAAGCTCCACCTCTTGGGTTGGCACCATTCTCCTGCCTCAGCCTCCCGAGTGGCTGGGACTACAGGCGCCCGCCACCACACCCGGTTAATTTTTTGTGTGTTTTCAGTAGAGACGGGTTCACTGTGTTAGCCAGGATGGTCTCGATCTCCTGACCTTGTGATCCACCCGCCTCAGCCTCCCAAAGTGCTAGGATTACAGGCGTGAGCCACTGCACCCGGCCGCTTACTTGTTTTCTTTCTTGCTTTCTTTCTGAGATGGAGTCTCGCTCTGTCACCCAGGATGTAGTGCAGTGGTGCGATCTTGGCTCAGTGCAGCCTCTGCCTTCCAGTTTCAAGCAATTCTCCTGCCTCAGCCTCCCGAGTAGCTGAGATTACAGGCGTGTGCCACCACGCCCAGCTGATTTTTGTATTTTCAGTAGAGACAGGGTTTCACCACATTGGCCAGGCTGGTCTCGAACTCCTGACCTCGTGATCCGCCCACCTCAGCCTCCCAAAGTGCTGGGATTACAGGCGTGAGCCATCATGCCCAGCCCGCATGATTTCTTTTACCTCCCTCTGAACTGACTCTTGTGGGGTCCCATGGCTCTGATTTCAGGGCTTGTCTGACTAGAGAGGACCCTTGTGCTTGGAGACTGGGTGGACGCCTCCTCGGGCCTGTTTGTGCTACGATGCTGGGATTCGAGTGGGAGCAGCTGTGTGTGTGCCTGTCCAGTGACAGGCTCCCTCCCACTCCTCCTTCCCTCTTGGGACAGTCATCTCTGCTGGGGTCAGCTTTGACCCTCAGCATCTTTCTTCACAAACCAGATATCACAGAGATGTAGTTCTGACCCTCTGCCTGGCTCTTCGGCTGCAGCCAGCCTGGGGGTGGATGGCACAGCCCAGGCAGGGATTCTCGGGGCTTCGCTTGAGGTTCCTAAACTGCTTCCATCGCTCATTTTGCACACTTAGCCCATTACCTGCACTGTGTGAGGAGCGTGTGAGCAAAAATGAACCCAGGAGGAGCCCCAGGCCCTGGCAGTCAAGTGGAGGGGCCTTTGTGCCAGCCACAAGGGACCCCTGCACTCAGAGTGGAGTGATCTGGGCGGGGTGGCGCTCACCAGCAGGCGGCCTCTGTTTGGCACCCTCTGACTGCTGTCTCCAGCGGCCACCAGCCTCTGCTTCCCTTACTCCAGGTGCCCCGGGTCGTAGGGCAGGGCCCGGCCAATCCGTGGCCTTCTCCAGGCAGCCCCTGCCTGCCCCTGAGTGTGGTGCCTTGATGCGGGGTCCTGGCAGTAACACCGCCAAGGCCACCTTGCTGACTCCAGCCTGGCCGGCCAGCCTGTTTAATAAAGAGTCGTCACTTTCTGTTGCTCCAGAGCCTGGGCAGGGAATGGCATGGCCGCCTGGCCGGTTGCCAGCCTTTATTCATTTATTGACTTGTTCCTTCCACCGCCCAGTGGCTATTCATGGAGCGTCTGCTCCACCAGGCACCCTTGGAGATCCCTGAGCACATGGCCTTGTGGGGCTTAGGCTGGAAGTTGCATTCTAGTGTTCCATGAAACATTTTTGCTCCCCAAGTCTTCTCCTGACCCTGGCAGACTTCAGCTGCCCTGCTGAGGTGGGGTGGGGATGGGCAGTGCCGCTAAGCCTGTGTTGTGTTTTGCAGGCAACATTGAAACCAACCATAACCTGCCACCGTCACACAAATCTCGAAACAACATCCTTCGGTGAGATCCGGGTGTGCGGGCTGGGGGCTCGGTGGGGCTAAGGTGGGGTGAGCCAGCGGAGTCTGGCTCCAGTCAGCAACCTGTCAGGCCTAGCAGCCTCTTTCTCTGTCCCCTCCCAGCACCAGCCTGGACCTCTATGCCAATGTCATTCACTGTAAGAGCCTGCCAGGCGTGGTGACCCGGCACAAGGACATAGACATTCTCATTGTCCGGGAGAACACAGAGGGCGAGTATAGCAGCCTGGAGCATGAGGTGTGCATGGGCGGCCCGGGATGAGCCCCCCTAGGGTCAAGATTAAGGGGAGAGCTTAAGGAACCAGGGACAGGCGTACCCTCAGAGGGCAGGGGCTGTGCCCGAGGGAGAAGTCAGAAATACGCAGATGGGGTGCTTCCCACTGTGGCCCCGTCACACCAGCTCGTTTGGCCAGTGCCGCTCTTCAGTAGCACATGGGTCTCTTCTCCCCATCCCCTCCTCAGAGCGTGGCGGGAGTGGTGGAGAGCCTGAAGATCATCACCAAGGCCAAGTCTCTGCGCATTGCCGAGTACGCCTTCAAGCTGGCGCAGGAGAGCGGGCGCAAGAAAGTGACGGCTGTGCACAAGGCCAACATCATGTATGCCCCTGTCCCCTGACCCCTCTGAGAGTAGTCCAGAAGCAGCTGCAGTGGCCTGCTTGGGCCTGTTCTCAGGGATTTGTGGTCCAAAAGCCCAGCTACCCACCGAGGGGCCACCCCAGGCGAGTGCCCTGTTGCCCTCGAGGCATTGCCAGAGCCCACACTTAGGGGAGGTGGGGTGGGATTCTGTCCATTTTGCTGGTGAGGGACAGGTTAGAATTCAGACCCCAACCTCCTGGGGCCTCTGCATGCCCCATCCCTCCGGCTGACTTGCGATGGCCAAGCTGGTGTCCTGTTCCTAACCCCTCACCAGGAAACTGGGCGATGGGCTTTTCCTCCAGTGCTGCAGGGAGGTGGCAGCCCGCTACCCCCAGATCACCTTCGAGAACATGATTGTGGACAACACTACCATGCAGGTATTAGCCTGCCCAGTGCTATCCCCCCCTGCCCTGGGTGCCCTGGGCTTCTGTCACCCATGCTCCCGAATCTGCCCCTCAGCCAGCCCCCTCTTTGTCCCACAGCTGGTGTCCCGACCCCAGCAGTTTGATGTCATGGTGATGCCCAATCTCTATGGCAACATTGTCAACAACGTCTGCGCAGGACTGGTTGGGGGCCCAGGCCTTGTGGCTGGGGCCAACTATGGCCATGTGTACGCAGTGTTTGAAACGGTGAGTACTGGGGGCAGGGCCGTAGCCTGCTGCCTTTTTCCAGTTCACAGACTTACTGGGGCACACTCATCCCATCAGGTCCACCCGTTCAAAGTGCATGATTTAGTAGTTTTTTGGATATCCAGGGTTGTACTGCCATCACCACCGTGTCATTCCAGAACGTTTTCACCACCCCACGAGGAAAGCCTGTCCCCATAAGCTGTCTGTTCCCACACCCTCCCCCAGCCCCTGGCACCCACTGGTGGGCTTTTGTCCCTGTGGAGTGGTCTCTTCTGGACACGTCACAGGAGCAGAGTCACCATCCTTCTGCCCTCCACCCACTGTCCTTCATCTTGCCTCCCCAGGCTACGAGGAACACCGGCAAGAGTATCGCCAATAAGAACATTGCCAACCCCACGGCCACGCTGCTGGCCGGCTGCATGATGCTGGACCACCTCAAGTGAGTGACTCCCGGTGCCCCGCGAGCCCCTGGCCAGCCCTGCGGGCCCCAGGGACTGAAGCCTGGCTGTCCCGTCCTCTAGGCTGCACTCCTATGCCACTTCCATCCGTAAGGCTGTCTTGGCGTCCATGGACAATGAGAATGTGAGGTTCCCCTTGCACCCTACCCTGCTGCCCCACGCAGTCTCCCCCTGCAGCCTCCTGTAGCCCACCTCATGCGCTGACCACGGTCCCCAGGGGAGGGTGGTAATGGATCCGGCACCAGCTTCTGGCCCTTAGCTGGTGCCACGTCCCTCCTGTGGCAGTCCCAGCCCTGCACGCCACGGGAGACAGTGGGTAGCCCCGGGCCACCTGTACAGCAGGGAGTGGCAGGGCCTGGCGTGTGCCGAGCCTGCCTGTGTCCTACAGATGCACACTCCTGACATCGGGGGCCAGGGCACAACATCTGAAGCCATCCAGGACATTATCCGCCACATCCGCGTCATCAACGGCCGGGCCGTGGAGGCCTAGGCTGGCCCTGGGACCTCCTTGGATTCCCCTTCCCACCCCAGCACCCCAGCCAGCCTGGTAGGCAGAGCCCAGAATAAAGCAGCTTCTGCCTAGACTTGACGTGGGCCTCCCTCACTCCAGGCACCGATGTTCAGTCCACGCTTTATTAAGAAAGGAACACACACACTTTCTCCAAGGGCCCTCCTGGGGGTCTCAGGCAGAACACGCTCTGAGAGCCGGGCCTGGCTCCAGCGTCTCTTCTGCCCTGCGGTTGTGGGGAGCTGGCGCCCAGAAGGGTGGTGAGACCTGTGCCGCTTTTCCCTCAAGGCACGGAGAGCTGGAGGCGGAGCCGTGGCCGGGCCTAGGGGTTGAGCCAGGGGTGCTGGAGGCAGTCAGCGGCACTGGCCCGCTTTTCGGGGATGTACTCCATCATGGGCAGCAGGAAGGCACTGAACTGCGTGGCCTGCTCTAGGGGCCACTCGTACTTTTCCATGAGCACCTCGTACAGGCCCCAGTGCTTGAGATTGTGAATGTGCCGCAGCTCTCCTGTGGGCAGGCCAGCGGGCGTCAGGCTCTGTCCCTGTCTCCAGGCCTGCCTTCTGCTTTGGCCCTGGCTACTGGGACCCAGTGTTCCCTCTGTTGCAGAGTCCAAGGTCCCTGTCCCACCCTCCCTGCAGCCACATGGCCTGAGCCTGCCCGGGCCCTCACCTCTCCGGTTGAAGAACTCCCGGGAATAGCGGCCTGAGAGGGCGAAGGCTGGGGGGATGTCCCCCAGAAGCTCCACGATGTGAGCTATGTGGTCTGTGGCAGAAAGAGGAGGTTGGGGGCGGGCAGGCCGGGCTGCCGGGAGGCTGAGCATCCCCCAGGGCCCTCATCCCTTACCCTCATCACGACTGTAGTCTTCTCCAGAATGTGGCTCGAACAGGTAGTCACCAGTGGCCAGCTCGAAGGCCTGGAAGGGGGAGGAAGTGAGGCTGCTGGCCAATGGGCTGGTGGCCCTGGGCACAGGGCAGCCCGGGTGGGCGTACCATGCAGGCTGTGCTCCAGATGTCTGCTGGGGGGCCATATTCGGCGCCAATCAGCACCTCGACGGCCCGGTACTGCCGAGTCTGGATGTCCTCTGTGAAGTGCTTGTGCTGGAGGCAAGGGGAGCCCTGGGGACAGGGGCCAGGGCCAAGGCTGGCCCGCCCCCACGGACTCCTACCCCACCCTGATCCACCTACCCGAGGAGCTCGGTGGGGCTTGCTCTGAGCCTCGGGGTCCCCAGATCTTCCAAGAGGGACAGGCCCAGTGATCTGAGGCTGAGGCTGACCCTTTCCTAATGACCCCTGCCCTTGGCCACAGCCCCGGTGCTGTTGACTGGGCAGGACCGATTCCCACCCAGCCGATGGTTCATGTGCACTGCAGGCTGGGGCAGGGCTCCCCAAGAGTGGCCCTGTGCCTCCACCCTTGGACCAGGGCCCCCCACTGTGCTCTCCCAGGCTTGCGCGTACCACCCAGCAGGCGTTGCCCAGGTCTGCGATCTTGATCTTGATCTTATCTGCATTTTGGGGCTCCAGGGGGTTCACCAGGAGGTTCGAGGCACCGAATGGTGCTGGAGAAGGCAGAGCGGGGAGACTGAAGTGGTCTGATTCCTGCCAGCCCTGCCTGCCCGCCGCCCGCCGCCCAACTTACTGCTAGGTGACAAGAGGCCCCCGGTCTCTCGCTGATTGGATGAGCCGGAGAGGATGGAGCAGGAGGCAGGAGAGAAGAGGGAGCCAGAGAAACCTGAGGTCTGTGAGCCGGGGCTGAGGCTACGGCCATCCCCCAGGGCGGGGGAGGAAGAGTCTGGGGAGGGACCTGCTCTGGCGCCCTCGGGGTGGCAACCTGAAGAGGAGGTGGAGCCGCTGCCCCCGTCTAGTCTCAAGCCAGAGTCTAGGGAGACGGTGTGGAGGCAGCTGCTGAGCAGATGCCCTGCAGCCTTTGCTGCGCTCCACGACCCAGCACCCCCTGTGGCCCCTCACCCTCAGCCTGGGTCGTGGCCTCCATGGCCTCCAGTCTCTGCAGGTCCCGCAGCCGCTCCTCCAGCAGCCGCTTCTGCTGTTTCCGTTTGCGCCTCATCTTCTTCCTCTTGTTTTTGGATAGCTTACCGGTCTGCTGTCAGAGCCAGGGTCACCCCAGGGTTCCTGTCGCCCGCCCCAGTCAGCATGAAGTGGAGGTTTCCCTGCATGGCCACCAGGGAAGAGGCCTCTCCGGGCCCCAGGGCTCCCATGGACTCCAGAATGTGGCACCAGCACCCCTTGGCACCAGCTCCTCACCACTGTCCCTGCCTCCCCGCCTGTGGCCCCACTCCCCACAGCTCCATTAGGAGTGGGAGGACCTGACTGGCCCGCCTCTGGGTGCTCTCTGTTCCCTCTCAGCCCAAGCTAAGGCAGCCGGAAATGGCCACTCGGGGAAGACAGCATCCTTTCACCAAGAGCCGTTTGGGGCATTTGAGCCGTCCCGGGAGTCATCCTCCGCCCAGCCACCCGGGCTTTCGGGATGACCACCGTGGGAGTGCATGAAGGGGGGAGTGAAGCCAGTGTGGCTCCAGAGATGGCCTCCAGTTGGCTCGGATGGGAGAGGAGGCATGGGAGAGAGGGGCCCCCCAACTTACCAAGACCTCCTGGGGGGCAGTACTGACTGGGAGTGTAGGTGGGGAGCAGGAGACAGGGAGGAACAGAGACTCAGGCAAGGGTTCAGGCCCAGAGGTCCTGACCCAGCCCCATGTGGACCCTTGGTACCTATGGAGCGGGAAGGGGGCGGTGCCCCTGCCTGTTGCCACTCCGTGGCCTCGGCAGCCAGGCGCCTGATGTAAGCGTCCCCCACACATAGCAGGATGTTCTCGGGCTTAATGTCCGTGTGGATGATCTTGCACTTAGTATGGAGGTAGTCCAGGCCGTGCAGCACCTGCGGAGGGTTGCACCTGACCTCCACGAACTCCCCCTCAGGCCAGGCTGGGCAGCCTAGTGGGTGGCACTCACCTGCCTCACGATGCTCTTCACGCAGGGCACGGGCAGGCCCTGGTAGTTGGACTTGATGATCCATTTGAGGAGCTGGTGGCCCAGCACCTCCAGCACCATACACACGTCTAGGCCGGGAGTGAAGGGCGGACAGTAGACACCAGCTGCGGCTCAGGCCCCACCCACCCTCAGCTGGGGGAGCAGCCAGGCTTGGGCCATGCGGAGGTGGGGAGGCAGGGCCTCCCCGGGGCAGTCCTGGTCACCAGTATGCTGGTGTCGTCGATAGTGTCCCTGTCGCTCTCAACAGGTATACCAGGTTGGGATGGTGCATTTTGTGGTTATCCTAGAGGTGGCGCTGGAGAAGCAGGCACAGAGGCCAGCCCACTCCCACGCCAGTTATGCCATAGGGCCTCTTGGCAGTCCCCCAAAGGGAAGGCAGCACCACAGAGGCAGCACCTGCCGTTTGGGGGTGACAGCAACGTCCATGGACAATCAACGCTAACTTATTACTGCTTCCACATAAACACAATTACCTGGGGGTGGGGTCATGCCAGAGGCTTGCGTTACTGGGAGGGATGCAAGCCCATTGTGTGGATCTGCAGACAGGCTCTAGCAGTGAGGGCCCCCGTTTGCCGGCCCTTGGCTGCCACACTGCTTTGCTTTTCCTGCAAAGGATACGGACTCCATTGACTCCTGAGATCCTGAAGTCATCAATGAGCTGGACAATGGTCTCTCTTTTGGGGTCACTGGGGTCGCTGTCTCGGACCTGGAGTAAAAGCCAAGGGACCACAGACGGTTCCACCCTGCCCTGAAGCCCACAGCTCCCTTCAGTATATTCCTCTTCTGCTCCAGCTTGGCCCTGCTGGAAGAAAGGTCGCCAACCCCTCCTGTCCCTCACCCGTTCCTCCAGATCCTCCCCCTCTGGCACAGCCAGCTGCAGGCTGCCCCTCGGGGAGCCCCGCCCTGCCCCACAGAGCCCCAGCAGGCCCTGCACCGGCATTGCCAGGCCCCAGGCAGCTCCAGGGGAGCTGGGAGTGGGTAGGGAGGTGCCTCACACATTTCAGGAGCTTGATCTCATCCACAGCTGTCTCCGTGTAATGCCCTGCACTCTTCACCACTTTCAGGGCCACAAAGCGCTTGCGCCTGTAATACCGAGACCCTTGTAGGCTGTGGCCCTGGCAGGACCCACGGCAGGGATCAGGGTGGCCCCAACCAAACCCAGGGACAGGATCCCAGCCAGTGCTGGGCCCAGAAGGCGAAGGAGGCACTCACTGGATGTCCCAGCAGAGCCAGACAGTGGAGAAGTGGCCCCAGCCCAGTTTGCGCACCACGTGGTACCGCCCATTGAACAGGTCGCCAATCTTCACAGGGTAGTAGCCGCCTGCCAAGGGGAGATGATAGATTGGGGTGGTGGGGGTTCTCACTCCCCTGGGCCCCCAAACACCTCGACCCTATTGGCCATCTGGCCCATGTGGGCCCAGGGCTGCCCTGGGTCCCTTGTAGTGGCCGTCAGGCCGCATGTGCCCAAGGCCAAGCCTCACCCTTGCAGTAATCCTTGGGGTCTTCCTGTTCCTCATCGTCAGAGCCCAGAAGCCCCTGCAGCATCTGAGGCGCCGGCATGGCCAGGGCTAGTTCGGAGCCTGAGGACTCGGGCCCGCAGGAGGCCTGTGAGCTGTGGGTGGGGTGGGTGGGTAGTGAGCGTGAGAGACGCCAGGGGCCCCGGGTGCCTGAGCCGAGCCCTACCTGCTGCTGCTGCTGCTGCTGCCGCCGCCGCTGTCCCCAACACCGCCCGTGCTCGCGCTCATCCCGGCTGCGCAGCCCGCAGCTCCGGTGCTCCCGTGCCCCGGGCGGCTGCTCCTGTGGGGCCTGGCCGAGGCCTGTGAATTTATAGCCTCGGCCGGCCGCTGATCTCACCCGCCTTTATAAATAGCCTCCCAGCTGCTCAGCTGTGGGCAAGGTATGCGGTGCGAGGAGGGGGCGGCGCGGCGGCGGCCCCAGAGAGCCTGGCCCCCAGGCAGAGCCCCCCTCCTGCTCCAGGCCCACCCTGGAGGCAGAGGGGGCTACTGCTTGGGGACCAGGGACAACTGGGTCCCCAGGCTTAGCCTCCGCACCCCAGCTGAGGGGGAGGTCCACGAGGGGGTGAAGCAACCCGTACCCTAGGTTGGGTTCCCGTTCTCCAGTGCCGACTGTGGTGATGTTCTCCGCTTGGCAACCTGGTCCTTAGGCCGAGCCCTGACTACCTGTGCCCCCGTGGGCATCCTCCTTGAGGTGCTCCTCTCCCGTGGGAACCCCATCCCTGGCTGCTCCCAGCCGCTTCCTGCTTCTACGTTTCATCAGCCCCTAGGACAAGTAGGATTCCAGTGCCCTCTGAATGTGGCGTCGCTGGGGACCCCTCATTTCCCCTACCAGAGGCACCAGGCCTGCTGATGGAAGGCCTGGGAGCTTGCGATCCCAGAACCTGCTCCTGCGACCCTGCCTGGCACTCTGGCTCCCAGCACCTGCTCTTCCTCTCCACCATTTGCAAGGTGCCTGCCATGGGCTGCTCCATAGCCAGACATGGGGGAGGCAGCAGGAAGCTGCTCGTTGCTGGGGACAAGCAAGCCCATAGCCACTTCTCCATAAGTGTGGTGGTGACTGAGAGACCAGGAGAAATTGGGTCCCCAGAAGCATCCACGGCAACCCAGGGCACAGTGGGGCAAGGCCTGCAGCCAAGACGCGTTCCAGCCCGTCACGTGCTGGCCATGACTGCTGCATGGTTTGGGGGCAAGGACTGGAGGCCTGGGGTCTGTTGGCTCAATGTGGAGCTTGGGTGATATGGGGTTGGGGAGTGGTCACTGAGCTTCTGCTCAGCAAAAGGTTACTCTGGCCACTTCAAGGACAAGGGAATGGAGGGGTGAGAGTGGAGCTGAGAGGCCAGCTGGGGCCCGACAGAGGAGTCCCAGTGAAGGGGAGGGGGCTTGGCAGAGAGGGTGCTTGCCGTAAGATATTGGTGCAGTGTTCCTGTACCAGTGTCCGTGAAGTGGTAGGGGTGGGCCACGCATTGATGGAGGGGCCAGCGAGGTCAGGGAGTGGAGGGAACGTGAAGCCCGGGTACCTGATGGCCTCTCTTTGTCTGTGAGTAGCGAGTCATAGCCATGGGGCTGAGGGGCTCTCAGTCAGGAGAGCATTGAGCCGGCTCCTGCAGGGAAAAGCAGGGGCTGGGAATTGGGCCCTTTGTAAAAAGACATTTCTGTCCAGGTGTGGTGGCTAATGCCTGTGATCCCAGCATTTTGGGAGGCTGAGGCGGGCAGATCACCTGAGGTCAGGAGTTTTGAGACCAGCCTGACCAACATGGGGAAATCCCGTCTCTACTAAAAATACCAAAATTAGTCAGGTGTGGTGGCACACGCCTGTAATCTCAGCTACTCGGGAGGCTGAGGCAGGAGAATTGCTTGAACCCGGGAAACAGAGGTTGCAGTAAGCCGAGATCACGCCACTGCACTCCAGCCTGAGAGAGCAAGACTCCATCTCAAAATAAAGACATATTTCTATTTTATTTTCAGATGTGATTTTCCAGCAGGCAAATAAATATAGTGGGGAGAGGGGGAAGAAGGGGGGGGTCCTTATAAATTAGAAACAATCCCAGGTGGGGGGAAGGTGGGTGGGCTGGCAGGGGAGGTGGCAGGCAGGGAGCCCACTGCTGGGCACAGCGCCTGGCTGTGCACCCTGCGCCCCCAGGCTCTGCCAGCTCCCCTCAGTGGCTGGCTCGGTTCCGGGGTCATAAGGCACTGCGGTGGTGGTGGATCCGGCTTGCTGCTGTCTGAGCCAGAGCTCACAGGTCAGTCACTTTGTTCTCCACCAGGGCGGCAACCTGCTGCAGGCGGCAGGCCAGCTGCAGCTTCTGGCCCACAGGGTCCTCCTCCAGGGCACTGATAATCTGCCCAGGCAGAGGAGGGTGCCTGTCTGAGCCTGCCCCTCTGCCTGCTGGCCCAGGGCCACCCACCCTGCTTCCATCTCTGCAGGAGCCTGGGGATCCAGTGGGGGCTGCCTGGGGTCTTCCTGGGAAATCTGAATGAAAGCCGAGTCCCTTCCCCAGCCTGGGCCCCGCCAGCATGGGCTGGCACCGTTGCTCCCCTGGGAGGGTCCACGGGCCTCCCGCTCCGCTGCGCCTCCCCTCTGGAGTGCCCTGGGCCTCACCTGATCGTAGTACCTGTGGATGTGGTTGTAGAGTTCTTGCAGAGCCTCCAGACAGTGGGGAGCAGAAGTGTAGCTCTGGGGGCACCATGTGGAGGGGGACAGTGAGGTCCCAGCTTGGTCCTCAAGCCCAGTCCCCCCTCTGCTAGTCTTTCCACCCACATGTGGACAGGCGCACCCCCTGGGCCATGCCTCACCCCGGAGAGCTCAGCCAGGGCAGAGTTCATCTCCTGGAAGCTCGCCGGAGAGCTCTGGCGAATGTCTGCATAGTATCTGGAGGAACAGACTTACTTAGGGGTGGGGCAGCCCCCATTCCCCGCAGCCCCGATGCCTCTGATACCCACCTTTCCACCATTTGCTTGTAGCGTGGGATCTCCCGGGCGTAGAGCAGTTTGTTCACTGGGGAATCCTGCTCCAGAGGGAGGGAAGGCGCTAGGCATGAGCTAGGAGGTGAAGGTGCCGCTATTACGCTGCCACTGCCCACCCAGAGCTCTGCGCAGAGCCCTCCAGGCTTCCCCCAGAATACTTTCCTCCTCAAGCCCCTGCCAGCTGCTGCTGGCACTGCTCTTACCCGGCCCACTTTATGCTCCGAGGTGGTACAGGAGTCAATAAAGGTCTGGGCGATGACAGCAAGGATGGCGTCCACGTTGTCCGACACCCGCACATCAAAGATGAGCTGTGGGTTCTTCAAGGCATTCACCCAGAACCGCAGCAGCAGACTGGGGGCGCAGGGTGGGCGTGGGCGTGAGGCCCTGGCCCGCCATCGTGATCTCCGCCCCATGCGCTCCAGCCTACTGGCAACACACTTGGGGCCAGGGGCCACTGGAAGCTGGCCTGGTGGCCCAGGTGACCTGGGCCCCAGATCTTCCTGTAAGTTCCAGAAACTGCAGGTGGGTGCATCCACCCTGGGAATGTCCTGGTCCCTCTGGGACTCAGTGGACCATGTGCACAGCAGGGGTGGGGCAGCAGGAAAGGCACCTGTTAGTCTTCCAGATGTGCAGGGTCCCTGGGTCCTCGATGCCGTGCTTCTCTGCGAGTTCATCCAGAAGGTCAAACAGGTACTTGACAGCAATGGGGATGGGCCGGTTCACACTGAGAATGGCCTGGAAGGTGTCGTCCACAAACTTCTGCAGCGTGCCCTGCGAGGCAGGGGATAAGGGCCATGTGGAGGGCAGGGTGTGGAGGCCATCCACGGCCCAGGCTGCCTCTGCCCCTCCCACTCCCTGGTTCGGTCGGGGACCCGTGGCTGAGCCTCCTCTCAGGCCTAGCCGCCCGGGCCGCACCAACCTTCATGGACAGCAGACGGGTGAGGTAGATTTCCGGAATGGCCTTGGCCCTCGCTGGTTCCCGCTCTCGCAGGCTGCTGCACCGCACCTTGGCCCCTTCTGGCTCCTCGGTGGCTTTCACCAGGTGCCAGAGGCACACCCCACCCTCCTCGCCATCCTCCAGCGTGGGGATGTCTGAGGGCACAGGAGCCTGGCTTCAGGACTATGCCCCCTGCCCCTGGCCTGGGATGCCCAGTCCACTTCCCTGACAAGGTGGGGCAGGGTGGGGACTGGAAGAAAGGAAGGAGAGATGGGCAGAAGATCTCGGTGGGGTAGGGGATGAAGCTGAGGCAGATGTGTGGCCAGGAGTTCTGCCTGTCCAGCCTGGACTCCAGTGGCCCCAGGTCGGGGCCGACCCTGAGGGACTCACTCTCTCCCAAGGGGCACCTCTGGGCCAGGCTCTGGGAGATGCTGCTGCCGCTGTGCAGCTGAGGGACGAGCCCCACTGTTGCTCCATCTGGGACCTGGCAGAGATGGGGAGCAGAGGCTGTGCTGACCCCTAGTGAGGCGCCTACACTGCTCCCACCCTGCCCTGCCTCATCCTGCCCTGCCCCCAGCCCCGCCCTGCCCCCAGCCCCGCCCTGCCCTGCCTTGACCTCCCCGCCCCAGCCCCGCCCTGCCCTGCCTTGCCCTGCCACTGCTCACACCTTGTAGTGCTGCAAAGTGTTGAGTCTCTTCCAATGGTTTTGGGTCACGGAGGTCAAGTCTTCATCCGACAGGGTGAGGTGACCAGCCAGGCCCGAGCGCCACTCTGGAGGGAGTCAGGGATGCAGATAGTCTACAGCCTGCTCTCCATGCCCCACGCTCATAGTAAGGCACAGATGAGGGTCTCCAGGTGCCGGAGGGGTAGGGAAGGGTCCCTGGGGTGGGTGGGCAGGGCTGGCTCTCTCACCAAGGTCTAGGGCATGCACTGAGGGCCTCTGGGAGAAGGGGGTGCCCTTGTAGACTTGGTCCAACACCTTCTCCTTGACCTGGGTGATGGTGTCTGTGTCGAGCACCCGGGCCGGCACGCGCTGCACCTCACTGCTGCATGAGGCCCCGCCAGCCCCAGGCCCCACCAGCACCATCAGTGTCAGGGGCTGGAACTCCACGTCCTCCCGCAGCAGGCGGCTATCATTCAGGGTCCGTTTGGCCTTGCCTGTCACGGCGTCCACGGGGCCTTTGTCCACTTGGTACTGGATGGCCCGGAAGAGCATGTACAGTGGCTCACCGGCCACCTCCTGCACTGCCAAGATGAGCCAGCATCAGCCACGTGAGGGGATCGATGGCAGCCCTTCTTGCCTCTGCCTCGCCTCCAGCCCGGGAGAGGGTTCAAAGTCCTTCCCTTTCCAAAGCCCCCCCTTGCTGGGCCTTGGTCAGGTAGGGCGCAGGCAGCAGTCCCCACATGGCGGGAGGGGAGGAGTCTGCCACTTAGGGCTGGGGGCAGCGGGACAGTGCCCCTCACCCTCAGGAAGGCGTACAGGCAGATGGACAGCCAGTTGGTGAGCAGTTTTTCCACCATGGTCTCTGTCCTGCAGAGAGCCGGCCACAGGGTCAGGCGTTTGTGCCTGTGTCCCTGCTGAGGACATCTCACTTTCTTTCCCGCAACCTTCTGGGGCTTCCTGGCCCCCCGCACCCCTGGACAGAGCCCGCCCAGGGTGCGATGGGGGCAGGTCTGTGGTGAGCCCTCACCCCCGCCACTGGGTCCAGGTCAAGGCCAACCTGCGTAGCATGAGCTTGGGGTTCCTGTGCACGTAATGGGCTGCCAGGTCACCCAGCAGGGTCCTCATGATGTCAGTCAGGTACTCCAGCTTGCCGTGTAGTGCTAGTGACAGCAGCGAAGCCACATGGCAGCGATCCCTCTGGGAAAAGCTGGGCTGCTCCTCCAGGGTGTGGATGAGCTGGGCAAGGGTTGGAGGCTCATCCTGGGAAGCCCCACTCTTCCCCCACGTTTGTCTCAGGCCAGCAGTTCCCCAGCCCCACCTCCTTGCCCACCGGGGACTCCTGCCACGAGGCCCTCACCGTGAGGAGGAAGAGCTTGCTGTTGAGCAGGTTGGAGAGCTGCGTGAGGCCCTGGTGCACAGTGGTGCAGTGGCCGTCCTCCCCTGGCCCCTCGGGCTTGGGCTGCAGTGGGCAACCGCCATGGCCAGGGAAGAAGGCGCGCTCGGCGTAGGTGCGGTAGTCCAGGAAGGGGATCCCGCTGGCCTCCAGGTCGCTGCTGAGGTCGGTCATCTCCGTCATGAGGTCTGCAGGCCAGGAGCAGCTGAGGTGTGAGTTCAGGCCCTGTGGGCACCCTGTCCCCGCTGCCTCCGCACCCACCTGTGAACTCCTTGCGGCACTGGTCCCCCACGCCGGTCTCCAGGCTCTCCAGCTGCAGTAGCACCTTCTGGTAGTCCCGCAGGGCCTGCTTGCTCTTGTGCCTGCAGCCCAGGGCCAGCATCAGCCAGGGCCAGGGCCAGGCTGGCCGCCTGCTGGGGTACCCTTGCCAATGGCGAGGAGGGAAGTGTGCTGGGGGTGGGCGGGTCTCACCTGTACATGAGGGTGAGGAGGAGCACGGCGGCGATCAGCACGGCAGCACCCATGCCCAGGCCTGCCTGGGCCTCCACGGGAAAGGCAGACAGCGGGGGCTCAGCCTCGTACTGCACAGGGCCCAGGGCCAGCCGCACATTGCCCATCTGCACCTGGGTGGGCAAGGCTCCTGAGTGCATGCCGGCGGCACCTGGCCCACCTGCCCACCCAGGGTGCGGACTCACCACGAACTGCGGCAGGCCAGAGCCATTGGCAGGCTGCGGGGCGTGCGCAGGCGGCTCGCAGTACAGGTGGGTGCGCGTGAGCGTCTTCACCAGGCACTCGCTGCGGCCGATGTGCACGCGCACCTCTTCCTTGCTGATGCCCAGGTTGAGGCCCTCACCCTGGGACACACATGGGAGCCTAAGCCACTGGCCCCCACAGAGGCGGCCTGAGCAGCCTGGCGGGGCGGGGTTGGCGATGGCCCTCACCTCCACATCCAGGATGTGGCCTGGCTTGAGGCGGTAGGGGCGGGCAGACCCCTCGCGGCTGAGGGGTGCCAGGCGGGGGTTGGGCTGGTACAGGAAGCCCTGGCCCCCGCTGGCGCTGGCGAAGTCTACTTGCATGTTGTCTAGGGTGAAGAAGACCCGCTGCGGGCGGGCCCTGTCTGGCACGGCAGGGCTCCAGCACAGGAGGAGGCTGGACGAGTTGACAGAGCAGACGGTGGAGCACTGTGGGGCCGGCCGCAGGTGGAGTGAGCTGGGCTCCGCTATGCACTGCCAGGGGCATGGCAGCTTGCCCTCCCCCTCCCCACCGGGCATGGGTATGGTCGGGGACAGCCCTGTTGCCTGCTGGTGAGGGGCTCACCTGCAGCAGTCCCCCACCAAGCTGGATACAAGCCTGGGGATCCGCAGCAGGGGCTCCACAGCTCCTCCTTGGCTCTGGGTCCTGGGGCTGGGCCCTGGAAGCCTGCGCCTCTGTGTCAGCCTCCAGCCACACAGACAGTAGGGGCCGCTGCACCACATCCAGGCCGGTGCCGCTGACACGGATCAGCCGCCCACCCCTGTGCCAGGATGGCAGTTGGGTGTGGGCGAGTGGTGGGCAGCACAGCCCAGCCCCCATCCCACCTTCCCTCCTGCCTGGTGCACAGGCTGGCCTGTGGGCTGACCCTCACCCCCGGAAGCTGGCACTGGGTTCCGCTGCTACAAGCCGGGGGTTGTCAGTGTAGCGGAAGGGGCTGGCGAGCAGTGTGCGCTGGGCATGGCCAAAGACTACAAGGACCGCTGCTTCTCCTGGGACAGCCTGGGGCCTGGTGCGGCACACAATGGCCTCCGGACACACTGGCTCCAGGCTGCAGGATGGGTAGCGGGATCTCTCATCTTGGCTCTAACTACCGCCCCTCTACCCTAGCCCTGGCCCAGCCCTGGCCCAGCCCCCATAGGAGAAGCCCTACTTAGCCTGTCTTGACAAGGGCAGGGACCACTGGGGTTGGCCACAGCAAGCACTTCTCTGAATGAACCACCTCCCACCCCCGCCATGTAGAAAGGACACTGAGGCCTATGGGAGTGCCCACCACTCGACGGCAGGCAGCAGGCTGGGACTCACATGGGACAGGGTTGGCCACCCACGAAGGCACTGGTGTTGCCACCTGTCTGGAGGTGCTGACCTCGGATGGTGAGCTGGGTGCCCCCTGCCTGGGGACCCCAGCGAGGACTCAGGCTCAGCAGGACAGGGTCCTGGGGAACAGCGTGGGCTGGGTAGGCAAGGCAGCCCAGCTTGGCCCTTTCACCCCCTTGGGCCATGCCCAAGGTCCTCCGGTTCTGAAGCGCAGGTCATCTCTGGGCTTCACCTCCTGGGGCCAAAGTGGACCACACCCTCCTTCCAGAGGCCACTGCACGCTGGGCAGCTTCCTCCCACCCACCCCTGCCACATGGGGAGTAGGAGTGGGGCTCTTTTATCCTCACTGCCAGTCTCTCTCCCTTGGGACAGCCTCCTCCACACCACAGCTTGCAGCCCCAGACCTGGAGCTCTGAACTCTGAAATCCAGTTGCCTCCTTGGGGCACTGCATGGGTCAAGCAGAACCTGCCCCTGCCCCCACCGCTCCTGTCCCAGCCTTCCCGCCTGGGAAACGGTGCCACCAAATGCCCAGGGCAACACTTCCCGAGAGCTTCGTGCCCCAGACTGGCCTGGTTGCCCGCCTCCATTCACATGCTGTGGCTTCCCTCCTAGACATTGCAGCGGCGCTTCCTGCTCCCCGCAGACCCAGCTTGACATCCTCATTAGGCGCCTGCCTTTCCTGGCCCTCCCTCCCACCCTCCCCTGCGCACCTGGGAGGCCACTGACCTGGTAGGTGAAGTGCTGGCTTGAGATGCCTGGTGGCTGGCTCTTAATGGCCACCTGGACGGGCCCAGTGGTGCCATTGGGGGCAGGAGATGTCACACACACAATCCTGGAAAGCCGAGGCCTGGGAGCTGCTCAGGGCCCAGGGACGCAGGGGACAGCCCACCAGCTGCTACCGAGTACACCTTCTCCACCCCTCCCGTGACCCAGTGCCCCAGGTTTCTTGGCCACAGGCCTGCCTTATCTCTGGGTGGCCATCTCTGAGGGCCTCCCCACCCATCCTCACCCTCCAAATGCCTCACCGGGCTGAGGTGCGGTAGAGAGAGGGCTCAGGGCTGCAGGGCCGGCTGGCCACGCTCACGGCATATTGCACATCAGCGAAGGCCCGGCCCAGGTTGGAGCCCAGGATGGTGAGGGCCAAGCCTCCCTCAGGGGGACCAGTCAGGGGCTCCACCTGCAGCAGGCAAATTATGGCAGATGGGATCCCCCGCACCCACACCCCACTCTACAGTGCCGGGTGCCCAGCTGGCCAACCAACCCAGCCAGACCGAGCTGCTGGGGTTTGGGGGCCTGGGGTAGGGCTGGTCTGACCACGGAGGATAGGACAGTGCAGGGCAGGAGAAGTGGGCCACTGGGCTGTAGGGGCCCCAGCAGGAGACCCGCACTCAACCCTAGAGGCGGGGGCTCACCACATCAATGCTGGGTGCAGGACACAGCAGCTCCACAGCCCCCGGCGGGCACAAGGGCCCATAGCGACAGGCAGGCTGGCCATCAGCACACCACAGGCAGCCCAGGCTCCTGTTGGCCGCTTGGCAGTGGCTGCAGTCCGGGTGGCCCATGGCACAGTCGTACAGGATCACTAGGGAAGGTCAGGCAGTGTGCTGAGTGCCTCCTATCTGCCACCCACACTGCCCCGCCTGCCTGGCTGCCCTCAGGCTCACCATAAAGAGCATGGGCGTTGTCCAGCCTCTGGGCCTCGCCCTGGGTGACGTAGATGGGCACTGGGAGCTCCCGCTGGGACATGGAGGGGTAGAACTGTGGGCAGAATGTGGGGTCAGGCTGGGTGCCCACTCAGGGCACCTCTGACTCTTGTCTTCTCTGGGCCACCCCCTAGAATTAATGTGATTGTTCCCTGCCTCTCCTCCAACACTGGGGCCCAGGGACAGAGGCAGTGGGCCCCAAGCAGGCTCTCCACAAAGATGGCAGACTCCTGAGGGTCTATGGAAGCTTGGGGGCAAGAGGGTTTGGAGGGCAGCCTCTCACCTGGTGGGCCTGGCAGTGGATGAGGCCCGAGTCCCCTGCTGTCTCCTCCAGGGTGGCCGGCAGCCCCCGAAGTTCTCCAGGCAGCTCCAGCCAGCAGTGGAAGGAGGCAGGCAAGCCCTGGGGAAGGATGCTGTCAGGAGTGTGGACATGCTGTTGGCAGACCCCACTGCCCTGCCCACCTCCCTCCTGACGGCTCACTCGGAAATGCTGAAGGTTCCGCACGCGTAGGGCCAAATGGCTCTCCCAGCCCACAGGCACCAGGTGGGGACCTGCCAGGCCTTCAACCTGTGGGCAAGCCCCTGGGCCACGCACCTGGACGTCCACCTGGGAAAACGAGAGCCTTCAACCCTTTAGAACTCAAAGGGCCTACTACCGGGCGGGCCTGGGAAAGGTGGAGAAGGGACAGCCCCGTCTCTGCCCGAAGGTCGGGCCCACCCACCTCCTGGGTGCTGTAGACGGTCCTCTCGCCCTCTGGGCAGTGCTCTCCATACACACAGTGGCTACTCTGGGGGCACCAGTGACACCGCCAGATGCTGCCCACGCAAGCACGACACCTGGAGGGGAAGGGCAGCTGCTCAGCTGAGTGCCCTCTGGGGTCGCCACCTCTACCCCAAGAGGCAGGCCCAGGGACTCACGGGGCAGCTGCCTCCAAGGCCTGGATGGCACTGCAGTCATAAAAGGAGAAGTTGGTGGCAGCCACAGCTACGTCTTCGAACATCAGGGCCAGGGGCACAGTGATATGTTCTGGGAGGGGACAGTGGGGGCAGGACAGGTCAGGTGGTTCATTCCCCCTCCAGCTTCCACCCCAGCCCCCTACCCCATGAGCCACTCACCTGTGCCTGGAGGGTTAAGTGGCACCTGGTCTTGGGGAGGGGTGACACAGGCCACGTAGGGCCCTTCCACATGAGCCAAGCTGTCATAGTCCCCGAAAGCACAATGGAAGTATTCATCTGCATCCAGGATGGGCAGCCGGGGGACAGACAAAGTGACCTGGGACGCAGCGGGGAGAAACAGGGAGATGGAGCCAGAGCAGAGGGGGTGGCCACTGCTGGGGGCGGCAGCAGAGACCATGGGAGAGAGGCGAAGGGAGGCAGGTTCATGCTCCAGGCAGTGGTCATGCTGCCCAGAGGGCCCAGTGGTGGTGGGCAGCTTACCTGGCCCTGCTCCTGGCGGGGGTGGTGGCTCGGCAGCAGGCTCTGGATGTGCAGGCAGTGGCTGTCCTCCTCATAGCTCCACAGCCACTGGTTCGGCTGGCCCGCCCGCCTGCACTGGCCCTTCCGGGTACACCTGCCAGGCAGGGGCCTATCAGGTCACCATGGGGGTCCTAGACTCCAAGTATGACCGACAGCGGGGCTGGGGAGGCCGGCCCAGCTGGAGTGCAGTGGGGTGCAATGAGCAGGAGGCGTGAAGGGGATTGTGCCCGGAGAGAAAGGGGCCAAGCAGGCCAGGCCTCATGGCCGAGGCATGGGCTCCAGCCCCAAAAAGGAGCTGTGACTGGGCTGAGGGACGCAAAGTGACTCAGGGCTGCCTTAAAGGATTCCTGGGAATGCCGGGTGCAGCACGGGCTGGAGGGCAGCTGTGTGGGGGTCCTGGACCCTGGCTGGGGCTGCTGGGATGAGGAGCCCACAGGCTGGGTGGTGCTGGAAAAGGGGGGTGCCAACCAGATTCACGGCTCAGTGAAATGGGGCAGGATGGGTGACCTCTGTGGTGGTCCCAAGTCTCTCCAACAGGCAGGGTTGGCCTCCCGAAACACCTAGGGCTGCTTCCAGGGGCAGCCTCCCGGCACACACCACCCATTGGCCCAAGCCTAGGCACAGGCCCCGTGCTCACCTGCCCTGGAGGACACACCAGCCACACAGCGGGTCCTGGGCCTGGAGGCAGCTGGCACAGTCAGGGAACTGGGGACAGGCCGCCACAGGTATCCGATCCACCTGGAGGGGCAGCAGAGCAGAGAGGCAATGGACACAAGACTCGGGCCTCGTGTGCTGGCCCCTTCAGCCCAAGGACGGCCCTCACCTGGTGAGCAGTCAGGACATAGAGGTGACTGTCACTGCTGTCCAGCAGCAGGTCTGGGCTGATGGCTGAGCCTGGAGGCCCCACTTGCTGGGAGTGGTAAACCTGGCCCTGGGAGCCGTGGAGAAAGACCTGAGTGGGGGGACAAGGACAAGGCTGGGCCAGATGGCCAAAGGTTGCCCGTTCAAGGGACACGCCCTCCTCCCAGTGGGGGCTCCTTTTTAGAGCCAGCTCCCCTTCCTGCTGGGCCATCGAGGGAGGACACATCGCTTCCCCCACTCAGCACCCTCAGGTCTGGGACACTCTCCAGGGAACCATGATACCAGGGCAGCAGCGGCACCCTGGGTGAGGCCCTGCGTACCAGGGACAGTTCTGCCAGGTGGGAGGGCACCTATGGGGAGACAGGAAGGTCGCCAGGAGGCACCACACCCTGCCCACCTCACCCAGCCACCCCAGCTACCTTCACCGTGAGCCACCACCAGCCGTCACTGTGTGGCAAAGCCCCCCAACCCAACTGTGGGATGTGGGCTAAGAGGTGGAGGTTTCTGGGGGCTTCCCTGAGCCTCTGTGGCCAGGGGCACACCCAGCCAGACAGCAAAGCCAGGCCCTCACCTTGTGCAGCTGGCCCTGGGTGTCCCCTAGGAAGGCTATCATGTGCCCGTCTGCCTGGAGGGCTGCCACGGCGCTGACTGGCTGCCCGAGCTTCAGCAGAGGCTGGGCCTCCAGGGGCTGGCGGCCGGCAATGGGGCTGGGGGTGTGTTCGTCGCCGCAGGGGTACGACTCGGGGGAGTCCTACATGACAGGGAGTGGAGAATCAGCCCCCGGAAGAGGGCAAAGAGGCAGTCAGGGGGCATGCCCAGGGTGCCAGTGGGAGGACAGCCAGGCACCCTGGCTTGGGAGGATCCCAAGGCCCAGCAATCAGGGCTGAAGGGCCAGGGCACCTGGCAAGCTCATAGCATCCAGAGGGAGAAGGGTGGAAAGAAACGGGTGGAGAGCAGGCAGGAGACCTGGAGACTCAGCCGACCCCTGGCTGAGAGGTTGGCTGGCACTTCCCATGGGCAGGCACCCCCGCCCAGTGCTGAAAGATGCTAGCCATCACAGAGGGAGTGGGGGTGGAAGGGCATGCCACTCACAAGGGGCAGCGTGACACAGCGCGACGTGACGCCGTACTCCACGGTGGCTTCTTCTGCGCCGCTGGGGCCCCGGCCGCCTGCTGTGTAGCAAAGTCTCCGGGCCTGCTCCATGCTGGCACCCAGCTCCGCCATGGGGAAGGCGCAGAGCGCCGCCTGGGTGCCCCCTGGGCCCGCGGCAAACGCCCCTAGCAAGGTGCCCGGGGCAAGGAAGGCGGCCTGGATGAGGCCCTGGCCCTGGCAGTTGAGGGGGACCTCCACATAGGAGTACAGGTTGGTGTCCCCCAGGCAGACGCGGGCCACATAGGAGCGGTACTCAGCCTGGGCCCGGGCCCCACGGCGGCGGAACACAAAGTAGGCGGAGCGGGCGTCGGCAAAGGCCCCCACGTAGCTGTTGTTGTAGTCGGAGAAGTCGCCTACCACCAGGCGGCCCAGGCCCTCGCTGGAGAAGGGCTGAGGCCCTGCCAGCTGGCGGATGGCCAGGGGTGGTACCCCTGCCGACAGCTTGCCCGCCAGGCCTCTGGCCACAAGCAGGAGGTCCTGGCCGGGCAAGGGCACAACCAGCCCCACCGTGGCCACTCCCGGGGTATTGGCAGCCACAAACTGCCCGTCACCAGGGTCCTCAGCCTGGTACAGCACCTCGGCCACATCCCCAAGGCGCCGTGTCTCACACACACCCTGCCGCACCTGCCCACAGGCCACCAGTTCCTGGGCACGGCTGCTCACCAGCAGCAGCTGGTTGGCATTGTCAGTGAGCTGAGCCTGTGGGCACTCAGCCGGGTCACGGAAGGGCACACAGTCGGGGCTGTCGATGACAGGGCCAGTGACAGCCATGGCCTCGAGCTGCAGCTCAGGGCTGAGCTGGAAGAGGCGGTTCACGGCGCCGACATAGAGTGTGCCTCGGCCAGGCGCCAGTGCCAAGTGGTTGAGAGTGGTGTTAGGTGCGGAGAAGCGATGGGCCCCTGTCAAGGGCAGTGGCGGTGGGGACAGCAGCAGCAGGAGGAGGCAGAGGCCGAAAGGAGGCCAGCGAGCCATCACGGGGGCCTGTGAGAGGGCACAGGTCAGGGCAGTGGGAGCGCAAGGCAGATAGAAGACCAGAGGAAGGTGGAAGGCGGGGTGGAGAGAGGCCAGGGTGCTCAGGGCCAGGGAGCGGGGGAGGCAGAGAAATGGAGGGCGAGGGAGAGTGGGCAGAGACAAAGAGACAGAGGGGGCACAGAGAGAGGAGGACAGAAGGAGGGACAAAGACAGCGTCCAAGAGCTGGAGCAAGAGGCAGGGAGGGGTGCACGCACGCACGCACAAGCACACAAGGGGAGAATTCTTTTATCTCCTACTTTATATGCATGTAGATTGTTGAAGGGGGGCAGGTCCTGGAAAGCCGCAAGAGCGCTAACAGAGGGACTCTGAGTCACAGAGCGGGCAGGGGAGGGAGGGAGGCCACGGGAGCTGGAAGGCTGGCGGAAGCTGTGTCACAACGCGCCCCTGCGCCCACCACCCAGACAAGAGAGATGGAAGTGGAGTGAGAGGAGTGAGGCCACCGTGCGCCCCAAGGGACTGGACAGGGAGAGAAAATCTGCCCTGGACAGCCAGGGCCGGCTGCAAGGAGGAACCCTCCCCAGCTAGGGGAAAGAGCCAGGCAGCCGCGGGCTGAGCAAGGAGCAAGTCAGCGAGGAGCAGGGGTCAGTTCCATGCTGGCCTGCTCCATGCTGGCGCCCGGCTCCGGGGTGAGGAAGCACTGGGGCAAGCCAGTAGGGGTGCTGGGAGAAGCCAGGGGTGCCAAGAGACAACATAGGCTGCAGAGGTGCGGGGAGGCCTGCTCCTGCCCCATGGGCCCCAGCAGTTTGGGTCTCTCAGGGCCTGGCACAGGGGGGCTCAGTGTGGCAGTGTCCCGGGAGAAGAGCAGACCAGGAGATTCGGCCGGGGGAGGGGTCAGGGAGGGGCAGGGAGGGGTGCCGGACTGGAGATGGCTCCTGGGTGTGCCTGGTGGGACCCCGGGGCTGAGCCACTGAGGGTGAGAGGTGAGAGCAGCCCCTGCTGTGGTCCCTGCTGTCCCCCACAGAGAGATGTTGCCCTGGGTGTGTGGTCACATGCCAACCAAGAGTGGGGCCGCTGGGACTCAGGGCAGAGCAGCGCCTGGAGGAAGGCCCAGAGGCCCCTTATCTCAGGAACACAGGCAGGAAGAGCAGGGACATTTCCTGCAGACCCCGGGCTATCTGTGGCAGTGTCTGCCTTGAGGAAGACTGCAGCCTGTATGTCCTGGGCCCTGGCCAGAGCCATCCTGCCCTACCCTGCCCCTCCCAGGAACATTTTTGGGGACACTGGGCCTGGGCACTTACCATGAAGTGGTGCAGCAGAGGGGTCTCCCGGGTGGCGTGGCACATCCGCTCAGTTCAGCTGCCCCAGGGCAGTGGTGATGGGCATGAGATGGCTGTGGGGGGCATTGTCCTGAGTGGGAGGGAGACAGTTGAGGCTCAGCCCCATTCGAGCTGGCCTGGGGAAGGAGGGGCGGTGGTGGGGGTGGCGCCCAGGGCCTGGCGACCGGGCTCCCTCACAGCTGGCAGCTTTGTCAATAGTGGCCAGGCCAAGGCAGCCCTGCCTCCACCACAACAATGTTCCCTCTGTCCAGAGGCCAGGCCGGGGCCCCACTCGCTGGTGCTGCCACCCCCACTGGGCTGTTCTGGACAGGGGGCTCCTTGCCACTTCCCACCCTCAGGGAGCCACCCCCGGGATCTGGGGACAAAGGGCCGGGGTTTCCTCCAGCCAGCCCTCCCCCTCTGGCCCTGCAACCCCTATGTCACTAAGCATGCCCCTCCCTGACTCCCCTGGGTCCCTGTGAAGGGCACGGGGTGGGCTTCAGAGCCAAGGCTGATAGCCTTGGGGCCTGGGTGAAGTGCCAGTCCTGGCCCTCAATGCCTGCCTTTGTCCAAAAGATCTTCCCCCACACCCCCGGCCCAGCCCTGCCCCTGGGGACTGGTGAAGTGGTGCCAGGTACAGCATGGTGGCAGCAAGCAGGACCACAGGAGGAGGCTGGTTGAGATGGGCTGAGGCAGAGGGTCCACAGGCCAGGGCTGTCCACCCCACCCCCTGAAGCACCATCCTGCTGGCCTAGACGCCATCCGTGCAGGGGGTGGGGAAGGGAGGGGCACCTAGCAGCTAGCCCCCCGTCACCCTCACAGGCCACCCTGGCCAGTGGCACAGGAGCAGGTGCACTGGGGATGGGGTCTCTTCCTCACAGCACGGCAGCAGTAGGCTCCAGGGCAAGGTGGCAGCGGGTTGCTGCCACCTGGCTGGGCCAGTTGGGTGGCTGTGGGGGTGGGGAGCCAGGCAGGCAGCCTCTCTACCCTGTACTCTGCCCGGGGCTGGTGCTGGCTTTCCCATTTCGGAGAAGAAACACGGTTCCCCACCTCCTAACCCCAGGGCTACCCCTTGGGGGACATTGTGCTCTCAGGCACCTAGTGCGGTCGTCAGGCTGGGCCGGCGCCCGAGAACTCTTGCCTGACCCCAGCCAGTTGGCCCTGAGACCCTTGCTTCCCCCTGGCCTAAGCACACCCTGTTGCCTTGGCCTGAAGCCTGGTAGCCCCGGCACCCCAAGCCCAAGCCTGCCCCAGCTCTTGCCTACCTGGCGGGCCACCAGCGAGGGCCAAGTAGTAGCTGGCAGTGCCAGGAGCACGTCTCACGGAGCCCCAGCCTCCCTCCTCACAATGCAATCGTGCCCAGCCCGACTCATCCCAACAAGCCTGGCCAGGCAGCCCAACCTCTCTCTGCCCGCCCCTTTGCCCAGTGGCGCAGGGCAGGGCGCTGCTGCCCTCTGCTGGCCGCAGTGGGCATGATGGAGGACTGACTGTGGGCACTTGGCTGGAGCAGGTGAGAGAAGGCAGCGCCCTCCTATCGGGCGGGCATTCCATAACCTGGCACGAAGCACCTACTGGATGCCAGGCTTGGGCTTGGCACTGGCACCATTCAGAAACAAACACAGGTTGGGAAACTGAGGCACAGGAGGTTAGGAAACTTGAATAAAGTCACACAGTATGTAGCAAGACTGAGTCAACAACAGGGCCCCTTCTCTTCACCATCAGGCTACATGACCTTGAACCATGAAGATTGGCCGGCATTGGCAGGAGATAGAGCTGAGGCCTACCCCAGGCCAGGCCTGCACGTGACATGCCCACGTGGCGTTGAGAAAAAACCAGTGTTTCCCACCAGCTGGAACACAAGGTTGGTCGATGGCTGGCTTCCAGGGTGTGGCAGAGGCCAGCAAGTCAGGCAGGGTCTCTGTAGTCAGGCTTGAGAACTTGGACTTGCCTCGCCATGGGCAACTGCAAGTTGCTGGTGCTGGGGCAGAGAGTGTGGGGAGGCCTGGTCCAGTGGTGGCTGTGGGCATGGGGAGGGGCGGGTGCATTCCAGAGGCGCTCTGAGGAGGCAGCATTCTGAAGACTGTGTGTTGGACCCAGGGCAGGAGGTGAAGGCAGGAGAATCCAGGCGACCCTGGGGCTTTTCTGCTGGGGCACTGTTCCCCCTGTGTCAGGGCCGTCCATGGAGGTGCCGGCAGAAGTGGGAGGATGGTAAGATTGAGGGGCCCATGAGGGAGGAGGAAATGGCAATGGGGCTGGGGAGGCCGCGGGGTGAGAAGCTTGGCTCAGGTGACTGGAGCCCTGGGGGCAGCTGGGGTATGGGGCCAGGTGTTCGCCCTGGAGCTCAAAGGCCCAGCAGACTCAGTGTATGGGTGCTTCCCTGAGCAGCTGTGTCATTCTTTCCAACCTGCATGGAGAGAAATGGGGCGCAGAGGCGGGTGGCTTGCCATGGCCTGACGTCATTTCTTCAGAGTGCACTCCACGGAGATGGGATTTGAACCGGGCATTCTGGCATGGGCCACACTCTGGACCACTGGGCCCAAGATCCACAGCCTCTCACCTGTGGCCGCTGAGGACATGGAGGCAAACCAGGCAGGCCCGTGGGAAGGGACCACCAAAAATTGAGTGAGCAGCTGGCAAGGGGTCTCTCCCCAACAGGAAGGCCGGGCGGCCTTGACGGGGCCACGGAGGGATCTAGAACCTCCAGGAGGGCAGGCTTGGGGGAGCCACCTGCCCTCTCTCCCTCTCCCTGTCCTTCCCCCCATGCCTACCCCAACACACACACATGTCCTTGCTGGCCCTGCACAACAGCGATGCCTGCAATCTGGCATGAGGGATGGGTTTTTCCTTCCTTTCCACAGAAGAAAATAAATCAGGCTGGGCACCGTGGCTCCCGCCTGTAATCCCAGCACTTTGGGAGCCCAAGGCAGGAGGATCGCTTGGGCCCAGAAGTTCTAGACCAGCATGGGCAACATAGTGAGACCCCCATCTCTACACACAAATTTAAAAATTAGCCAGGCATGGTGGTGTGAGCCTGTAGTCCCAGCTACTTGGGAGGCTGAGTTGGGAGGATTGCCTGAGCCTGGGAGGTGCAGGCTGCAGTGAGCCATGATGGTGCCATTGCACTCCAGCCTGGGTGACAGTGCAAGACTCCGTCAAGAAAGAAAGAAAAAGAGAAAGAGAGAAAGAGAGAGAGAGAGAGGGAAAGAAAGGAAAAGAAAGAAAGGGAAAGAAAGAAAAAGAAAGAAAAAGAAAGAAAGAAAGGGAAAGAAAGGGAAAGGGAAAGAAAGAGAAAGAAAGAAAGAGAAAATAAATCCATCCACAGGTAGCACCATTTTCATAAATATGTGTGTAGATGGCAAATGCACCTTCTAAGCTTTCTGAGCAGATAAGAGGCGTGGCTATGGCAGCCCTTGGTCTGAAGCTGGTGTAACCAGAAAGGATCGAGGCTGGTTTGGGGAACTGGAACATCTTACGTCAGGGGAGTTGTGCTGGATGTATCCTGCAATGGCTGGGTCCCCTCACCAAGGGATGGGAAGGAGCATCGTCTCCTTTCCATGTGCCAGGCTTCTCAATGCTGGAAGGGGACTCGTTGGGTCAGTGGGACGTGGGCTTCGCGTTTGCTGGGCTGAAGACATAGCTCTCCATGCTAGCATCCCAGCGGACACCCCCACTGCCACTGCTGCTCCACGTCTTCATGTACACCAGTGAGCAGATTTGATAGTTTGTGCGCATACCGTGGGTGCGAAATGGTGCCCTGCTGGGCTTTGAGTCGGCATTCCCTGGCCACCAGCCATATTGCAGCGCTTTTCATTTCTTCTGTGAAATGCCCTTGCATGTCTTGGCCTTACATTTTGCAGGCGTTCTGTATTTTCCATACCAATCCTTGGGGTGTATGTCTTCGGCCTACCTGTTACTTGTCTTCTCAGTTTGCTGTATGTCATGTGATAAACAGAAAGTCTTAATTTTAATATCATAGCATTTACCAATCTGATTTTTTTTTTTTTTTGAGACGGGGTCTCACTCTGTTGTGCAGGTTGGAGTGCAGTGGCTGGATCTCAGCTCACTGAAGCTTCCTGGGTTCAAGCGATCTTCCCACCTTAGCCTCCCAAACACCCGGGACGAAAGGCAGGCGCTGCAGTGCCCGGCTAATTTTGTAATTTTTTGTAGAGACAGGGTTTCGCTATGTTGCCCAGGCTGGTCTCAAACTCCTGGACTCAAGTGGTCCTCCCGCCCCAGCCTCCCAAAGTACTGGCCCATGAGCCTGTGAGCCACCGCGCCTGGCTACCTTCTTTCGAATTCCTATTCAGACTGTGTGTTGCTGGTATATAGAAAAACAATGAATTTCTATGTACTGATTCTTGTATCAAATAACCTTGTAAACTCTCATATTAAGTCTAATAACTATCTTTGGGTTCTCTTTGTGGATTCTTTTTGAGTCTAATAATTATCTTTGGATTCTCTTTGTGGATTCTTTTTGATTTTCTGCGTACACAATCCTATCATCTGCAAGTAATGATTGTTTTGTTTCTTCTACTCCAGTCCTTTTAGCTTTGATTTCTTTTTTTGAGGCGGAGTGTGGCTCTGTCCCCCAGGCTGGAGTGCAGTGGCACAATCTTGGCTCACTGCAACCTCTGCCTCCCTGGTTCAAGCAACTGTCCTGCCTCAGCCTCCCAAGAAGCTGGGACTACAGGCGCCCACCACCACACCTGGCTAATTTTTGTATCTTTTTTGTTGTTGTTTGTTTTGTGGGGTTTTTTTTTTTGTTTTTTTTTTTTTGAGACGGAGTCTCGCTCAGTTGCCCAGGCTGGAGTGCAGTGGCACGATCTCAGCTCACTGCAAGCTCCACCTCCCAGGTTCACGCCATTCTCCTGCCTGAGCCTCCCAAGTAGCTGGGACTACAGGCACCCGCCGCCACGCCCGGCTAATTTTTTGCATTTTTAGTAGAGACGAAGTTTCACCGTGTTAGCCAGGATGGTCTCGATCTCCTGACCTCGTGATCCGCCCGCCTCAGCCTCCCAAAGTGCTGGGATTACAGGCATGAGCCACCACGCCCGGCCTGATTTTCGTATCTTCACCAGACACAGGGTTTCACCATGTTGGCCAGGCTGATCTGGAACTCCTGATCCACCTGCTTTGGCCTCCCAAAGTGTTAGGATTACAGGCATGAGCCACTGTGCCCGGCTGATTTCTTTTTCCTGCTTTACTTCCCTGGACTTGCTTTATCTTGCTTTTACTTCCTTTACATGAAAGCATAGGGGGCATTCTCAATGTTCCATTGTTAAGTATGTTTGCAGGAGCGTTTGGTAGATATGTTTATCAGATTTAGAAAGCTCCCTTCCATTCCTAGTGTGCCATATGTTGAATTTTTATAAAATGCATTTTCTGAGTGCATTAATATAATCACAGGGTTTTCCTCCTCTAATCTGTTAATGTGGCAAATTACTTTAATTCATTTTTAAATGTTAAACCACTCTTGTATTTTCTGATCTAAACTCAACTTTGCATGATGTATTATTTTCATATACAATTCTGGATTGGGGGGTTTTTTGTTTTGTTTTTTTTTTAGCCTTGTATTATCCTCGTCTGGTTTTGGTATCAAGACATCGTAAGGTGAGTTGAGGCAGTATTTCCTTTTTCAGCTGTTCACTGGAACAGTTAGTCTAAGATAGAGATGATCAGTTACTTCCATGTTTGCTGGAGATCATCTGTAAAACCAGCTAGGCCTTCCTTGTTTTTTTGGTTTTTGTTTTTTGGTTTTTGTTTTCTGTTTTTTGTTTTGTTTTGTTTTGTTTTTGTTGTTGTTGTTTTGAGACAGAGACTCACTCTGTTGCCCAGGCTGAAGTGCAGTGGTGCAGTCTTGGCTCACTGCAACCTCTGCCTCCCGGGTGCAAGCGATTCTCCTGCCTCAACCTCCCGAGTAGCTGGGACTGCAAGCGTGCACCACCACGTCCAGCTAATTTTTGTATTTTTAGTAGAGACGGTGTTTCGCCATGTTGGCCAGGCTGGTCTTGAACTCCCGACCTCAGGTGATGTGCCTGCCTTGGCCCCACAAAGTGCTGGGATTACAGGTGTGAGCCACACCTGTAGCATCTGGCCTGGCCTTCCTTGTTTTTTTAGCTTCCTGCCTGTCCCTCTATAGATTTTAAACAATGGATCCAACTTCTGTAATAATTATGGGACCATTTAGGTTTTCTGTTTCTTCTTGAGTAATTTTTTTATTGTGGGGAAAAAATACATAACACAAAATTTGCCATTTTTTTTTTTTTTTTTTTGGAGACAGGGTGAGACAGGGTCTTGCGCTATTCCCCAGGCTGGGGTGCAGTGGCATGATCATTGTAACCTCAAACTCCTGGTCTCAAGGAATTCTCCTGCCTCAGCCTCCTGAGTAGCTGGGACTACAGGTAT